TTCGTTAGAATCAATTTAACTAAGTATCTTGCTAAAATTTTATACTTTTTATTAGGAGAATAGCACATGTGAAGTGGTGGCATTAAAAATTTTTTGTAGAAATAATTTTTCAAAGTTTCTTGCTAAAATTTTTAACTTTTTGTTAGGAGAATATAATATGTAAAGAAGTAGCATTAAAAATTTTTCGTAAAAATCAATTTTCAAAATTTCTTGCTAAAATTTTCAACTTTTAATTAAGATAATATGATATATAAAGAGGTGGTATTAAATATTGCTTGTCAAAATAAATTTTTCAAAGATTCTGATTAAAATTGTCAACTTTTTATTAGAAGAATATGATGTGTAAAGAGGTGGCATTAAAAATTATTCATAAAAATCAATTTTTCAAAGTTTCTTGCTATAATTTTTGCACTTTTTATCAGGTGAATATAATATATAAAAAGTGGCATTAAAAATTTTTCGTAGAAGTAAGTTTTACTTAGTTTCTTGCTAATATTTTCAACTTTTTATTAGGATATATGTAAAGAAGTAATATTAATAATTTTAATTTAATTTTTCGTTAGAATCAATTTTATTAAGTATCTTGCTAAAATTTTATACTTTTTGTTAGGAGAATAGAACATGCAAAATGATGGCATTAAAAATTTTTCGTAAAAATAATTTTTCAAAGTTTCTTGCTAAAATATTTAACTTTTTATTAGGAGAATATGATATGTAAAGAGATGGCATTAAAAATTTTTCATAGAAATCAATTTTTCAAAATTTCTTACTAAAATTTTCAACCTTTTATTAGATAATATGATAATATTATTAAGATAATATGATAAGAGGTGGTATTAAATATTGTTTGTCAAAATAAATTTTTCAAAGATTCTGATTAAAATTGTCATCTTTTTATTAGGAGAATATGATGTGGAAAGAGGTAGCATTAAAATTATTCGTAGTAATAATTTTTACAAAATTTCTTGTTAAAATTTTACACTTTTTATCAGGTGAATATGATACATAAAAAAAGTAGCATTAAAAATTTTTCTAGAAATAATTTTTACATAGTTTTTTACTAATATTTTCAACTTTTTATTAGATATATATATATAATGAAGTAATATTAATAATTTTAATTAATTAATTTTAATTTAATTTTTGAATCAATTTTATTAAGTATCTTGTTAAAATTTTATACTTTCTATTAGAAGAATAAAACATGTAAAGTGGTGGCATTAAAATTTTTTCATAGGAATCAATTTTTCAAAGTTTCTTTTTAACTTTTCATTAAGAGAATATGATATATAAAGAGATGGCATTAAAAAGTTTTCTTCAAAATCGTTTTTACAATGTTTCTGGTTAACGTTTTCGAAAGAGAACCTTTTATAAAGAGAATATGATCTGTAAGGAGGTAGCATTCTGTGTTCATGTTTCATCGGGAGAAACTAATCATGAGCCATGAATTTCTATTCTTCTAGAAGTCGACATGATGCGAAAATGTTCTCACTAAAAAAACGAATACAGGTCAATGCGGATTTAGATCGCGAGTACAATGGTCGTTTATCGTTCTCGCTAGAGAGTAGAAAGAGAAAAGAGACTTTAATTCGATCTACATCGGCTGCGTTGACCTATTTCCAGCTGCGCATTTTTATAGAGAATACCAGCGCTAAAAGAGACTCTTTCTTTCCTCTCGATGATCGATCCCGAAAGATCGCTTCGTTCGAAATAATCCGCTCGTTACGAGAGACTATACGAGTATGGAATAGCTTCTTGTTGGTTTACGAGGCTGCTATCGACGAACCATGAAGTCTTCACGCTTCCTCGTGCGTCGCCAGGAAAACGAGCAAAGGAAGACCGGGCGATGAGGTTACACAGTAGGAAGGAATACAGCAGCCGCGATGAAAACGTGCCTCGCTTTGCTCGGCTTGTTACAGTTTTCCGCTTGTGTTCCCCGAGAGAACAGTTTCAGATCGGTCGGTTTTAATAAATTCACGGCACATGTGCGATCCGCGGATAACATCAGCCTTGAATCTTGCACGAGAAGCAAACCCCTCTCCCTTTCTCTCTCTCGTGGCTAATGACGATGCTTTAGAAACGTCGAGTGTAACGAGCCCGAGAGGCAGCAAACGCTTTGGAAATGAGAGAAGTGAGGGAGAGAAAGAGAGAGAGAGAATGGCCGATGCAAGCCAACCGGCCGAATTATCTTCATGGGAAATTTGCGACAAGCCGTACAGTCACTCATTCCGGTGAAGTTCGCTCCTCATGGAATGGCACGGATAAATGAATTCCACCACTGATGAGAGGAAAGACGAGATCGAAACCGACGAGCGGAGAGATCTTCTTCAAATCGAGCGTCACGCCGCGCTTACACAGACATTCAGATGAGGCATGGTGGCCATCTCGTGTTCTTTATTGCCGCGATTAACGCAACTTGGCTCGCTGTTCTCGGATTTTCTTTAATCCCCTCGGATTCTTGTCGAGGGAGATCGCGGCGTTTCGAAAATTAGAGTTTTCGTGTTTAGGATGTCAGAAGCAGGATTAAACGAGAATCTTCAAAAGAAGATTAGGTATTAGAGAAGGTAATATTTGTTTTGGATAATGCTGGCATTACGAGTACAGAAATAAATCAATATGATACTTTGTATCTATATATATTTTGCAAATAACACGCTTAAATATTGGATAAAAATTTGCATTGTTGTGTAGAATATCGGTAAATTTTATATTTCCTTTTCCAGATATTTGCTTAGAATTTAGAACGCATTAACTTGATATTTACTTGAAAAGTATATTACGAATGTCTCTGTTTCAAGCTTTTCTTAAATTATCACATCTTCTTTAAATCCACATAACATAAACAATTTAAAATAGAAATTCTCTTGTTCTCTTATTGTTTAACCTTGATTTTTCTTTTCTTCTTTTATGCAAGAATAGCAATATTTCGTAAAATACCATTCTCATAATATCACAAAGTTAAAAACCGATATAACATTTTTACGAATCCATTTAGAAATTACAAGAGGAGAGCAATTGGTTGGATTATAAGCCCAAACAATAAAATAAAATAAACAGTTATGTTCAAATTCTTTTCCAAATTCGAGCCAAGGAATTTTCCCTTGACCACCTGAGAATCACCTGAATCAACGAAAAAACCCGTTTCCCAACGACGATCTTTTTTTTCTCTCTTCCTCGTCGATCGAAATAACCTGAACGCAAAAGAAGAAAAAGGAACGAAGGAACATCTTTATCTTTCCCAAGTATTCCCTTCCTCGTGTTATTTACATTGTAACCTGTAACTGTCTGAAGTTTGGACAAGTGTAATTTCTCGCGTCGAAGGAAGTCCGTTTGACGAAGCCCATTCCTCGTCAAGAGAAACTTCCGGTGTTCCCTCGACAAAGGAAATTTTTAATAGAAAATGCTCGTACGGGGCGGGAGGAGGGGTATCTTAATTAGAAATCTTTATATCTCGTACCAACCTCGCTCTCTTCGAAGGAAGGAGGGTAAGCGCTGTCGAAGTTGTCGCGACAAATAAATGATCGCCGCGCGACAAGATCTACGCGGAGAGAGAGAGAGAAAGAGAGAAAGAGAAAGAGAGAGAGAGAGAGAGAGAGAGAGGGGGCAACGTCATTTTAACTTGGCAACGAGGAGGAAAGGATGGAGCCCTATCTTCGAGCCAGGTTTCCCCATCGTAACCCACGAAACCTAACCACCGGTGTTCCCTCCATCCATCCCCGTGTTACCCCGCGTGCCGCCTGTTCCGGCCAACTTTCAGACAAATTAGCAATTTGCCAGCATCAGACTAGGTCTCGAGGCCGTGGATTGGTCCCGGGTGGTAATAGCCTGACGGTCGAAAATTACGGACCGCCTAT